ACCGACCCTTGTGGTCCCTCACCTGACCAAGCCCCTTGCCGTCCTGCCCCGACCAAGCCCCACGAAGGAGGTGACCCTTGCCGGCCCCCTTGTGCATTATGAGGAGGCTCAGCACCAACAAACGAAGTCCCCAAGTTCCAAGCAAGTGGCAGGGCAGAGAGAAAGATCTAGCACCATCCGAACCCAAAATCCGTGACGAGACCAGACTGGGGTGCAGGCTGGATCCACCCACAGGGAATGAGGGCACCTGAGTTTTCTTGTTGGAATGAAACTCTGGTCGACATTCCAGTGTTAGAGTGTCACTTGTAAACGTTACCGTGGACAAGTCACCTTTCCCTCTCCCCCCGCAGGCAAGGACTTGCTTATCTCTATGATGATGTAAGAATATCGCTTCTTGGCCTTTTGGCTGAGATCAAGTGTAGTACGATGATGTAAGAATATTCCGGGAAACCTGGTGACGACTTCTTCCCAGAAAGTCAGTTTCTGGAGACTTGGGACAAGGTGGCCAAGGAGGTAGACACTGTGCTCACCTCCTCCCCAGACCACATCAAAGTCACGACGAAACGAGAGTGGACTGGGAGAGCCCCCCAAACACCAGCTGAGCAGGGGCCTGTGACTCAGGGTGGGAAGAGGAAACCCTTCTGAGACTGGCCGGAGGGGCGGCGACTCGAAAGGGGCGGGCCCCACGCCCAGGTGTGGTGGCCGAGAATCAGGAGGACGTCTCTGCTGCGGGGTGCCTCCCAGGGAGGGAGGGGCGCAGCCCCGTGCCGGGCTCCCCTGCCCAGAGACTGGAACTGGGAAGAGGAGCCCGTGTGATACCCGGCTGTGAAAATCAGCAGGGTTCTGTCGGTGCCGGCGAGGCGGAGGGCCGTGGGGACCCAGGCGTCCTAGCAAAGGGCCCGCGGCCAGGCCCGCTCGCAGGCCCTCACCCTGGGCTCCAGCAGGGACATGATGGCGTGCAGGGCACCAGGGACATGCAGGCAGAGACCGAGGTGGGCGGCTTCGGGGTGAGGACTGGAGGGACAGCGCCATCGCTCCTATTTGAGCCTTCTTCCGAAGCAGCTGGTGGGCGGGGCACCTCTCCTACGCAGAGCCTTCCGCACAGTCGCACCTGAACCTGCGTCAGCCTGGTGCACTCCACCAGCTCCACCTGATGACCCCTGAGACCCCACCCCACCGCAGAGGTCTGCGGGCCCCGGGAGGGTGGCGGCTGGCCTGGGGCGCCCTGAGACTCTGGCCGAGACCCACACTGACACTCAGGTTGAGTCTCTACCAACCCGGCGGCCCCACTTGTCCCACCCAGCCCTGGTGACCACCTGACCACCCGCCTCACCCAGCTCACGCATTACCTGAGGCTCTCGCAGCAGCTGAGGGTTGTGGGGGATCTCAGGGTACTGTGTGCCTTTTGCCCACCTGCCCCAGGCCTGGGACTGGTGGCAATTGACCTCGGTTCACAGCATGGCCTCTCCCATGTCCACCCAGGTCCAGCACGGGCAGCCACAACCACGGGTCACTTTGTAGCTCCTAACAGGTGGCCCCAGGCTGGCCCCAGGCAGCATCTCGCCTTGGCCTGCTCTGGAGCCCTTCCCTAGAGCCCCCAGAACCAACACACCCAGCGGGTGGTGTCAGGCCACCACAGGGCACCACCGGCTTAGCTCCATAAGCAGCGCGCCCAAAGGGGGGTCTCGGCAGGCACCAGCCCCCTGCTGGGGTGGATCCTGTTCCGTGGGGTCAGCCCCTGCAGAGCAGCTCACAGGCTGCGGTCCTGGCCGGTTCTCCCCACCACTCAGTCTGTGGGCCAGCCCCACCCCCTGACCTGCCAACAGCAGCCAAGGTCCAACCACAGCAGAATGGACTCACTGTCCACGCAAGGGCCACTCCTGGAGCGCCCGGCTCCGGGCACCGGGGGGCCTGCACCCCCGGGCCCCACAGGACACCCGGTGCATAGGGCACCCCTGCCAAGGTGGGGAGCACAGAAGACCTACCCAATACATAGCAACAAGCACAGAGGGGCAGCCAGCTCGATGAGACAATGACATGTGGCCCAAACAGAAGAACAGGAGAAACCTTCAGAAAAAGAACTAAACGGAATGGAGGCAAGCAGTCTGCCAGGTACAAAGCTCACCACATTGGTTAAGAATGCTCGAAGAATTTCTGAGAGCTTCAACAAAGAAATAGTAAACGTAACCAAGGACATAGAAACCACAAAGTAAAAACAAGCCGGAATGAGCAATGCAATAACTGAAATGAAGAATATATTAGAAGGAATCGGCAACAGATCAGAGGAAGCATTGAGTCAGCAGTTTGGAAGACAAGGTAGCAGAAAACACCCAAATGAAACAGCAAAAGTAAAAAGAACAAAAGAAAATGAGGATAGTTTAGGAGACCTTGGGGACAGTATCAAGTATGACAACATTTACATCATACGGTGACAGAAGGAGAAGAGAGGGAGCAAGGGATTGACAGCTGATTTGAAGAACTAAAGACTAGAAACTTCCCTAACCTGGTGAAGGAAATAGACATGCAAGTCCAGGAAGTACAGAGAGTCCCAAACCAGATATACCCAAAATGGCCAACACCTAGACACATTGTAATTAAGATGGCAAAGGTTAAAGATGAAAGAAACATCAATGAGAAAGACAGTCAGTTCCCTGTAAGAAAGTTCCCAGGAGACTGTCAGCTGATGTCTCAACAGAAACTTTCCAGGTCAGAAAGGAGTGGAAAGAAATATTTAAAGTGGTGGAAAGCAAGGACCTACAACTGCCCTTTGACCCAGTGAGTCCACTTCTGGGATTATATCCTAAGAACCCCGAGACACCAATTCAAAATAATATATGCACCCCTGTGTTCATAGCACCATTATTTACAATCGCCAAGATCTGAAAACAGCCCAATTGCCCATCAGTAGGTGAGTGAATCAAGAAGCTGTGGTACATTTACACAGTGGAATACTATGCAGCCTTAAAAAAGGAATTCTTACCATTTGTGACAACATGGACGGACCTAGAGGGTATTATGTTGAGTGAAATAAGTCAGAGAAAGGCAAATACCATATGATTTCACTTGTCTGTGGAATCTAAAGAACAGAATACACAAACAAAACAGAAATAGACTCGTAGATACGGAGAACAAACTGATGGCTGCTGGAGGGGAAGGGAGTTGGGGGCTGGATGAGAAAGATGAAGGTTTTAAAAGGTACAAACTGGTAGTTAGAAAGCAGTCTCAGGGGTGTAAAGCATAGCACAGGCACTATAATCAGTAATATTGTGGTAACTATGTATGGTGCCGGGTGGGTGCTTGAAATACTGGGGGGATCCCTTCACCTGCCTACTGTGCTGTGCACTGGAAACTAATGCAGAATAATGTTGACTGTCAGCCCGCTGAGACTGAAAAATGAGGGAAGAACAGTACCTGGCTCATGAGGTTGTTGGGAAGGTTCAGTGTTATAAAGCTTGTGAAATACTTCAGACAGTATCTGCAGCCTGGTCAGATTTATAATGGTCAGGTGTTCCCAGTAGCCACGATCCCGTCGGCCACACTCTCTCCTCCGAAGTGGCGGTCAGCGAAGCCGGGGCAAGGCCTTTTCCTGGATGGGCCTCGGAAGCAGGGTTGGGTTGTCAGGGGCGGCACCGTGTGTGGCTTTGTGCTCAGACGGACATGGTGCGGGTTCAGTCTGATGGCATGAGACCTCGGGAAAGCGACTTCCCCCCGTGGGACTCAGTCCTCTCATTTGTGAAATGGGTCTGACTTCCTTCCTAAGGTTGGTGGGGGGTGGGCAGCTGAGGTAACACGGGCCAGGGGGTTCAGAATGGTGCGTGGCACCGGCCACGTGCTCCGTGGAGGTTGCCCACCGTCACAAACAGCACCCCAGGACGCTGCTTGCTCACCGTGTGTCTGCTTCTGGGGAGATGAAGACAGGACACTCCGAATTTCGCTGTCATGGTCACCCTGGGACACTTGGCAGCTCAAAGTCTTGCCTTCACCTCCCAGGTGCAGCAACTCAACTCCCTGTGGCCCAGATTCTGTCTTTCCCTCCACTCCTCTAACCAGTCCTCCTGAAACTGCACTTTCCAAGGCTGACCCGACCATCAAAATCATACCCAGAAGCCTCTGCGTGGTCTTCCAGAGGCTACAAGAATTTTGGAGATCCACCAGCCTGACATCATAGCTCTCAAAAGAGGAGGCTGAGGCTCTGAGAAGCCCTGTGGCTGCCCCCAGTAAGTCTGTCACAGGCCAAGAGTTACCCACTTGACTGGGTTGAGTATTCACTAAATGGCAATGAGTTTATATTGAACTTGACCGGTGTGGCAGGGAAGGGGGTTCTTGGAATCCAGCCTGTGTCTGGTCTAGGCCTCTTCTCACTCCACTTTAACTTTACTTTTCTGTCTCACAAACCTTGCTTAACCTCAGGAGGGCTGCTCTGCCTTCCCCGAGGGACCCAGGCCCTGCGCCCCCCGCCCCAGGCATAGAGACCTGGTTCCCCGATGGGCCATGTCTCCCCTTCCCTGTGACTCGCCTCTCTGGGCCAGGCTGGCTGGCTGGCGGGTTTCCTTGGGCGGCTGCCTTGCTGGCAGTTTTCAGAGAAGGCTCTGGTGGGAGCCGGAGGTGAGGGGAAGGGTCCGGAGGGGCTCGGTCATTGGCCCGGCAGCCCCGGGGCTAGGTGAGCCTTTCCCGGGCGGAGCTGTGGGTCTGCGGGTAGGTTTTCCGGGAGTTGGGTAACCCAGGAGCAGTGCCTCTCTCGTGGTTTCGGGCTGATCTGAAAGGCCTTCTCAGCCCCCCTGTGCACCCTGCTAGAAACACAGCTGACTCCTAATAGGCGTAGATACAGAAGGGAATGGTTTTACAAATCGCGTTTGCGGGGAGGGGTGGGAGGAAGGAAGAGAGAGTCTTAAAAAATCCCTTTCAAATATTTTTTTCTTCTAAGTATCGAAAAGGCACCCTATAACCCTCTCTTTCCCCAAGTGACTTCATAGCTGTTTATTGAGGGGAAATACCGAAGGTTTGTTTACTCTCCAAAAGGGTCCGGATGATTCAAGGAACTATCATTTTCCTGCGGCTGCGGAGGCTCTGAGACCCAGGGACAGCCCACACCCTGAGGGACGGCCGGTGTCACAACACGCCCTGTCCTGAAGGAGGGCAGGGACCTTCTTTATCCTCCCTTCACGGACGTCCTTGGGCTCTGCAGACGGATGTGAGCGAGTTTTTCACCCCGGGCGCAAAACAACCGTCTACACATAACAGATGACATCAGCCTGGGCTTTTCCATTCCTGGATGGCAGCAGCGTGCTGATCCAGCCTTCACCCTGGACTTCGTGAACTGGAACCAGAGAGCCTGGCAGGGGACGGAGCTGCGGCCGGCAGGAGGGAACTGGTGACCGGCAGACGAGGCCCGGCCGGCCCGAGGGCACCCCGCGTATAAAGCTCACAAACGCGTAGGCAGAGGCTCCGGCCCCGTTTGGGACGGACGGCGGCTGCCCGGCAGCCCAGACCGCAGGAGGAGCCGCGCCGCTGGAGAGGAAGCATGCGGGCCAGCCTGCTGCTGCTGCTCACTGCGCTCCTGGTGGCCGCGCCTCTGGTCCCCGCGCCCCAGGCTGCGGCAGCCTGGAGCGCCAAGTACGCGGTGGACTGTCCCGAGCGCTGCGACAGGGACGCGTGCAAAAGCCCCCTGCGCTGCGAGCGGACGGTGCTGGACGACTGCGGCTGCTGCCAGGTGTGCGCGGCGCGGCGCGGGGAGACCTGCTACCGCACCGTGTCCGGCATGGACGGCGTCAAGTGCGGCCCGGGGCTGAGGTGTCAGTTTTACAGTGAGGAGGATGATTTCGGCGACGAGTTTGGCATCTGCAGAGGTAAAGAGGGGCCTCGCTCCCCTGCCCGGGGCGCCCAGGGGCATTCTCTCTCGGGGGAGGCGGGGAAGCTCCCCTCCTTCCGACCGGAGGGGAAAGGCAGGTGGGTTGGGGACCCGGACCAGGCAGGTTTGGCACAGGGAGACAGGCTGACTCTACAGGTGGCAGCCGACCCAGCGTCAGGGAAGCCCGGGAAGAGCGCAGCACGTCACTCTGTCGGGGAGATTTTTTTTTTTTACCCAGTTGCCTGGGAAGATTGTGCTGCCCCCTTCTGTGGAGAACGGCAGGTGCTGGACAGTGACCTTTCTGGGGTGGCCCAGGGGCTCTCTCTCCTGCAAATGCAGATTATGAGCCTGCGCTGGGAAGCTCCTGGAGGGCTGTGCAGCCCTGGGTTTGGGGCGTCTTTGAATCCGAAAGGGCCCCCAGGATGGAGGGCAGCTCTCAGGATCCAACGCTTCTCCTGAACCCAGAGACCCTTGTGGAACAGGGTGGGTTTCAGTGACCGGACTCCGGTTCTGGCCAGGGGGCACCCTGAACTAGGAGTCAGGCCTCCCTCCGCCTTGCGAAGGTCTCTGGTCACCCAGAAAAATAGCAGATGGCGTAAAACACAGTGAAGAAAAATAAAAATTGGACGTCTGTCAAGAGCAAAGTTGGCTGTCTTACAGACATAAGGAAAGAACTCATCCGGTTGACATTATAGCCAAGCAATACAGTTAAACGTTTGTAGAACCGATTTCAAGCTTAGTGATTATAGTTTAAAATGGTTAACATGCTTAAAATGTACAGAATCAAAAGAATGATGATTTATATAAAAATTCTGTGGATATGCACGATCCATCGTGAAGAGCATTATTAACATGTAACACATGCTATAGCTCCGTTCATCAGTTTCATAACACAGGGAGCTTCTACATTGTCGAAGGGACTGGGAGATTGCTAAACAGTGCTTATACTTTATGTATTTAATGCAACGGGGTGCTGTTGCCACTCGTGATCATGCAGTAAGAGCTGACTTATTAATTCTACCTTTTACACAAATACCTTTTAACCCAAAAACATGCCCCAGTTTAGAAAACATATGTTTGAAGTACTAGGAGAATTTTTTATTAGTTTTTGTTTGTCACCAGTAAGAGATGGGATATTGAGGAAACATTTTTTTTTGGTGAAGGTTCACACACGTTTCTTTTGGCTGCACAGGGCCTGTGTGAGTTTTCCATAAATTACAGGCTTCTAGCCGAGAACACCCAGGAAATCAGGGGGCGGTCGGCACCGGCACACTTAGGACGCCACGAGTACGCGCCCTGGGTCGCTTCTCTCTCAGAGCGAACTTCCCCGTGGACATGGCAGAGAAGGAGCTGCCGCGTGGGGGTGAGACAGGTGCCGTGAGGCATCACATCTTGAGCGCTCCCTGGGTGACGGAGGTGGCTGTCAAGGACGCGTTTTTTAAAAAGATGTTCAGGATTGCTCCTCTGGGCTCCCTTCGGGCCGTGAACCGGCCTCATTGGGGATGCATCTTCTCCCTGCTGGGACTAGGGAGCGTGTGTGAGCCTCCGAGACTGGACAGAGGGAGGCTTAGATTCCGCTGGAGGAGAACCCCTGCCTCCAGCCTTCCCACAGAGCGCTCGTACGAGTGCTCTCTCCTCTGCTGTGTGTCAGGTGTTTTCTGAACACTCCCGTGTCTGTACCCGGTGGCCCAGCCAACTAGCAGCCGACGCCGACTCACTGGACGCCCACTGTGTCTGCCCAGGGGGCACAACAGCAAACAGCTGTCGCAGCTGGGAATCTGGCTCAGGTGTTAGTTACCAGTCCCACTGGGGACACAGTCAAATCCCAGTCCCGTGGGTTTTCCGGCACAGCCTTTGCGGCAGCTCCTGGAGGGACTGGCCGTTCCTCCCCTGCAGAGGGGCCAGGGCTTAATACCAGGCTCCCCTGCCATCTGACTGCTGCTGCAGGGAGCAACCCTAAATCTCCTTTGAAAATGCATTTTATTTACGCCTCACTCTGTGCAGTAATAGATTCTTAAGGACTCAGATGCCCCGCAGCTCGATTCCCCACCCGTGTGTGACTGTGCGTTCACGGGGCCGGTCTCACGCCAAGAGAGTGAGTATAGTGTGCCGAGCTGTGTTCCGTGCTGTCATCTCCCAAGAACCACGAGCTTTCCGTAAATGAATCTGTCCTCCTTTTTCTCAGTTTTAGCCTAAGCGTGAAATCCCTGAAGCTTTCAGGTTTTGGCAGGTGTATAAAGAAACTCTTGGCTTGCTCATTCATTTTGTGTTTTGGAGGTCAACTCCCCAGAGGGTTTACTAGTGAAGCCTCTTAGCACCTGGGGGGTTTGGGTCACTTGTACTGCCAGGTCGACAATGAACTTGATTGGCACTGGTGCAGACCGAGGATCTAGTTCTTCATGGAGAGCTGGGACAGCAGCCCTCTGAGCCCCTGGCTTGTCGGGAGCCCTTTCCTGTGCCTTGGAAACAGCCAGCTGCCCGTGAGTGTGGTGGGTGCAAAGACAGCAGCCCCTGTTAAACTGCTGAGGAGCTGAGCCTGTGTCTGGTCAGTTGCCCACCATCTCCCAGCTGTCAGCGAGGTAGCCTGCTAGACACTGCCTCCCGGCGGCCGAGTGGAAAGTAGACGGAATATAGGCTGGGTCCAGGTTCTCGGTGACGGGCAGCTGTGTTCAGCAGCAGGACTCAGCAGAGGAGGCATCCACTCTCTGCTATTAACCTGTGATTCCACACTAAAAAAATATATATATATATTTTAGTGAGTTGACTGGGGTGACTTTGGTTAATAAGGTTTTATAAGTTTCAGGTGTCCAGTTCTACACTACGTCATCCCTATATTGTACAGTGTGTTCGTCACCCCAAGTCAGGCCTCCTCCTGCCACTCTGTATCCCCCTGTCCCCTCTTCCACCTCCCCACCCCCTTCCCCGTGGGGGTCACCACGCTGCTGTCTGGGTCTGTGAGTCTGTTGGCGTGTTCGTTTGCTCCCCTCGCCCTTGTCACCCCGCCACCCCGCTCCCCGCTGACCAACGTCAGCCTGTTCTGTGTATCCACAAACGTGTCTGCAGTTTGCTTCTGTGCATCAGATCCCACAGCTGTGACGTCAAGTTTCGACTTTCAAAGTCTGGCTGTTTCAGAGAATTGGGTCACCGCTCACCGTCAAGATGCACGAGGTTTGCTCACAGGGACCCACCCCTCTCTGAGCCCGCTTTCTTCTGCCCGCAGACTGCCCCTTCGGCACCCACGGCGTGGAGTGCAAGGACACCTGCTCCTGTCGGTGGGGCATCTGTGACAGGGTGACCGGCGAGTGTCTGAAATTTTCCTTCTTCCAGTATGGGGCCACCAAGCCTTCCAACGGATTCGCACTTCACACAGGTGAGAGCTGGTTCCAGCGGGAACGCTGGGCCGAGACGTCGGTTTGAGCAACTTTGTTTCCTTTATTTCACGGCGGGGGAGGTGGGCGGTACTGGGTTGGGGTGAAGTGGCTCTTTTCAAAAAGCTCTAATTAACAGTTTTGAAGACTCTATAATCTCTCATGAAATTTACCCAGTTTTCAGGGAAGATAAATAAGATCAATTACCAAAAAATCTGTAATAATAAAAAAACAACTAAGACTGCAAAGTTCTTTAAATTTTTCAGTGATCTGCTTTATATATGCACTGCAGGGAGCTTGTTCCCGCCTCCTGACTTCACCTAGAAACAGTGATGGGAGCAATTTATTGGGTGGAGAGGGTTTGACAGCCACGATAGAAAATACGACACTTTTTTTAAACCAAAGAAAAGCACGTAAATGGAATAATTTCCAGCATGTTTTAAAAAAATGGATCTTGGAGCAGAAAGGAGATAGTATCTGACTGAAACTCGGGAATTTGCTCTAGTCCTTTGGACAAAACGGGCGGGTCCCTCGCACGCTGCGTGTTAGCCCGCAGGTGCTTCTTACCCAGGTTGTTGGGATGTGAGAAGACCCAGCCCAGAGGGAGCTGCTGCACCTGCCGTTGGCTCTTGTTGAATGAACGGCCAGCTCAGTAAAGCTTCATTAAATTGGAAGTGGCTCATTTAAACCACGTGTAGCTGCAGCAACTTCTAGTATCAGTAAATGACACATTTTCCCTCCTTGTATGTAAGTACTGGACAATCCAGATCCATTCTATCTAGGTTTTTTTCTGGTCCTTTGCAGTTCAAATTAATTAAAATTAGATTTATTTGGCAAATGTATTTTTTTTCCCTAGCTCTACCCCCTTCTTGCACAGAGGCACAGTTAAGTACATTAAGATAAAGGGGAGCCCTGGCTGGTGTAGCTCAGTGGATTGAGTTCGGGCCTGCAAACCACGCGATCGAGGTTCGATTCCCAGTCAGGGCACATGCCTGGGTTGCAGGCCAGTTCCCAGCAGGGGACGTATGAAAGGCAACCACACATTGATGTTTCTCTCCCTCTCTCCTTCCCTTCCCCTCTAAAAATAAATAAATAAAATCTTTAAAAAAAGATAAAGGGGAAATGCTGAGCTTTTAGCAAATTATTATGTTCAAGTGTGGCTATACCCTTAAACATTAATTTTCAATGAAAACCCTTTTTAACCTATTAGGTGAGCAACTTTGTGAATATTTGATCTGGAAATTGATCAAATTTCCTAATAAGTGATCTCAATTTACATTTTAGAGTGATCTCAATAACATTTTAAAGACTTATGAATTGTCCCTAAAGACCTTGAAAACCAAAAAGGAAGAAGATTGCATTTTAAGACCCAAAGTTTTTATTGATATTCACATAAAATTAAACATTTTTAAGTGAATAATAGTTCAATGACATTTAGTATATTCACAATGCTGAGTGGCTACCACCTCTAAATAGTTTCAGATCATTCTCCTCAGTCCCCCAAAAAACCCCAGTCCCCCCGCCCCCATTCCTCACTTCCCTCCGGGGCCCCTGACCACCGATCCTGGCCCTGAGACCTGGGGTTTCGACAGACTTGAGCGCATTCGCTGCGGGTTTCCCGCCCACCATGTGAGGACCGCTAACCGCCGCAGACACCTGCGACTTCTTTGATCTTATTTTGCTTTTTACAACCTAAAGCTAAAAAGAACTGAAGGAACAACATTCACATCCCACCCATTTAGGGTTGTGCTTGAACTTCTTTCACCAAGAAAAATGAGTCCCTCGTGAGTGAGTGTTTGATGGTGTCCAGGATGTGGGCGGGAGGCGCCAGCGCCCTGGGAGTGACCCTCGACCCCCATGCTCCCGGGTGTCCCTGTTCATCCCCACTCCGCACTCAGGGCCAGGCCCACGCCGGCGTGGGCAGATTCTGCGAATACCGGGACTGCTGTATAGATAGATGCCTTGTGGACAGAGGGGTTACGAGGAAACCATTTCTCTCCCCAAATTAGATATCAAGATCCTTATTAGACAGGTATGGGGAAAAAAGCAGTTCCCGACCCCAGGGGTTTCTCTGCATTAGCTAAAGGGAGCGACAGAAGACCACCAGCCACGTCGCCCTCCTGCGCCTTAGCCAGGCTCATAGGGAGGGCGGACCCCCAAAGGCTGCAGGCTGCGCGGTCCTGGGGGCTCTCAGGGCTCAGGCACCGCCGTTCACCGTGGGGAGGGGGTGCCAGGTGCCGACCTCCTGGGCTGCACAGACCGGCTGGAGTCGGCCTTCACCACCGGCTCCGAGGTTCATCTGCATGGGCGCCCAGGGGTCCCTTCCAGACGGGCCTGCTTTCTCCAGCTTCCTGCTGTTGCCACAACTGCCTGGGCAAGTGAGCCTCCTGGTGTCCCCTCCCCTTGGCGAGTGCGAGCTCTCTCTGGAGCGTTCCAACTGCCCAAGGCTGGGGATTCTCCCAGCAGCTTTTCGGGGGTGGGGGGCGGGGTGGGGGGTGGTGACCCCTGGAAGGTTTCGCTCATTCACAGGCTGCACTCGGTTCACTGCGGGACCCGCGCTGCCAGGGCACCACCCCCCGCCCCCCGAGACGCAGAGAACAATTTCGTTTTAGAAAATTCTATTACAAACTTTTTTCTTGTGGAGAGCAAGAACACTTTATAAAAAGCTCGCCCTGTGGTCTGCCTCCTGCCGTCTGGAGCCAGACGGAGACGCCGATCTCTCCTCGCACTGGGGACGATAACAGTCTCACTGAGAGATCTGTGCTTGCGGGGTTTGCTCAACCCATATGTCTTCGTGAGGTGCCAGCTCGATTCCCTGTTCCCCGCACCGGCGCGGCCGCAGATAACACACAGTCCCTGCGCTCCGCAAGCTGGTACTCTCTTGGTGGCATGAGATAATACGAGGTGCAGGGGGAGAAGAGAAAAGTGCGTGTGTGCGGTAGTGTCGGGTGACGGTAGGTGTGACAGGTGGGTGGGGAGAAACAGTTCTGGGGGGAGCTTCCTTAAATGGGCGGCGCCGAGGACAGGGTGCAAGGGAATCCGGTTCAAGTAGACTCCGAATCCGGTCAAGGTGTCTCGGCAAACCCATTGTAATGTGGAGACAGACGAGCTACACTTGACTTTGGGGTGACCCATGCCTTCCGTTTCAGAGCACGACATGGCATCGGGGGACGGCAGTGCGGCAACACCAGGCAAGGGGACGGGGAACGCTGCCCGGACGCCCGCGATGAGGCGGCTGAGCCCACGCTGACCACGCTGCCCGGGGAGGCTGTCGTAACGACCGTCGGACACACGGCCAACGTTGTAGGCATTGTTTCGGTTGTAGCGCATGTGATGCTGGGAGACCAAGCAGGATTCAGGGTGGGTCCAGGAAAAAAAGTCGGCTACTAACAATCCATAAAATGCACAGGACTGAACACTTAGATATATATCTGTTAAACATTTTGATGCATATAGATTTGTCAAATAACTGTTTATAGTGCTACTGAAGAACAGAAATGCAATTTAGGGGATGCAGGTCAGCCAAAGAGAAGGCTCCCGTTGACGGCCACCGCGGGTCCACGTTCATGGCCTCCGGCGTGTGACACTGGGTGGAGAGGGAGTTCCGGGCACGAGGAAGTGGGGGTGGGGCAGGGAGTGTGGTATTTAGGTCTCGTCGCAGCATCAGGGGAATTGAATTGTTGTTTTGTTTTTTACTTCGGGAAAAATCACAACCTTCCCAGAAGGAAGTGGGGTGTTTGGAGCTGGCAGGAGTCTCAGGAGCAGCCCTGAGCCGAGGCAGGTCTGCAGGGCCCCTCACGGTGACCCAGCGGAAGGGCGATGGGCAGAGACGGTTCTCAAGAAAGCCGGGTGGGACCAGGAGGGCTGGGCAGTATTTGCCTACTTGGGGGAGGTGTCAAGGTAAATATTTATGTATTTTTGCAAACAATTGTTAGTCCAGCATCCTCCATGCCTGTGTTTATCACCCTCTTGAGAAAAAGAACATAATGTTGTTTGTCTAAAATGGTTAGTGTAGAGGTGCAACTCTGTAAGATTTTCGAAGATCCAAGGCGTGGAAAGTTTCTTCTTAATAATTATTGTAATGTTAGTTGTGGTAAGCATAAGAGAAACTGAGAACAATGTAGTTGTTGGGTGTATAAAATGTCAGAAAATAAGCAACAGAGGGAATTTATTTTAAAGTAAGTGCAGTGACTTCGATGAGTTTTTAACTTAAAGTAGAAAATCGATTCTAGGGAGGTTTGGGAAAGAGTCCATTTTCGGCAGGAAATGTCAGCTTTAAATGACACTTTTGTACGTTTCCCTTTACAATTAGTTGGTGACTGGAACGGCCTGCCTGGGAGGGTCTCAGCACAGACGGCACAGCTGCCCTAGATTTTGTTAGGAAATGTTTGCATAGGTATCTTATTTGAAATAAAGACTTATTTAAGATCTACTTCGATATGTACCTGTATTTTATTCTCAGAGTTCGAATGTGTGTGTTGAAGGGTCTCTGAATGTCAACGGGATAAGCCGTTGGGGTTGGCTTCACAAGGACACATTGGCAACGACTCAGTGAGGAACAGGACAACTGTCCGGAGCCCCTTTATGACCCCATTAGGTCGTCAAAGGCCATCTCACCGGTGCGGCCGATGAGCGAGAGCTCTCTTACGCGCGTGGAAGGGAAGGCCGTGAACTGAGTTTTCTGCTGCGCGTGAGCGTCCTGTGTCAGAGCGTGAGACCAGAATACTGGTGTCGTTCCTTGCGGGTTCACTCTGCTTGTGCCTTAGAACTTCCTAAAAAGTTATGCCCCAATGTAGTAACCCATTCTACAGAGGCAAAAAAAGAAAAGAAAAGATGAACTGTTGTGTTGGTGTTTGAAAGTGGTTGTGCTTTGAAGGCAGACGGACCTCTCAGTGTTTGTAAATGGACGTACCCAAGAAGGGCAGAGGTCACTCAGCCTGTGGGCAAATCGTGAAACACTTTACGTGAACTGACGCTGCACTGAAAAAGTTATATTTGTATTAGGGAGAACATCCAGCCTGCCTGAGTTGTGCTTTTTATTTCTTTTAAAGACGGGAGAAAGGATGTGAATGCTATAAAAAGTTACACTCACACGAGATATTTGGTTACTGTTAAACAGAAAGAGAAAGCGGTGAGAACCTTTCCGGTGCCCCATGTGCAGTGTTCGGGCTTGGACCTCAGGGGTGAGGTTGCTGACAGACCTGCCACCTGGCTCAGACACCCGGGCCACCGTCTAGAGGCCCCTCTGGGGCACCTGAGCTAGACTGGGGGGACTTGCCTCTGCTCCGGGCGTGGTGGCAACCGCATGTGAGACCGTGGGCCATAAAATCCAAGTCTGGGGGGTCATCTGCTGTCAGTGGCCGGCATGCTTTCCGGCTGTGCAGCTTTGTGCCCGGGACGCCTGCGCCCCTCGCCTCAGGCGCTCACATCTGTCCCCAGTGGCTCTTCTGACTGCTCTTCATGTGCTCTCCAAAATGTCTGGGTTCTGCATACTTTTTGATCACGATATTTTTGATCGTGTGATTTTCAACTATTTACATAACATAGTTTTGTAACAAACACATTATGTGTGTTATAAAACACTCAAACTAGAAACTTTTAAAAGAAAAGAATACCTGCAGAGCAACCTACATTCTCTCCCACTCTTTCTCCTTCCTTTCCCCTCTCTTGAAAAAATAAATAAATAAAATATTTAAAAAAAAAAAGAATAAGAAATAAATATAAATGGAAGTTCTGACATTGTCTTCCTGCATCCCAATGGACCGTTCTAGGAAATACCGGAGACACCAGAGCAAGTGGCAAGGTCAGTGGTCTCCAGTGAGACCCCACCTCATCTGAAGAGAGTGCGAGATGGTGCCTGTGTCCCCTGTGATATTTCTGAAATGAACGGTGCGGGGGTGGGTGGGCGGAGGGACGGGCGGGTGGCTGGGGGGGGGGGTGGGATGAAGCAGGTGCAGGCCTTCTGTCTCCGCAGAGCAGCAGCCACCGAGGGGGCTTCCCCCTGCCCGCTCCCCTGTCTCCCTGGTGGCTGCAGGTCTCGCCTACCGGGACACGAGGTGACTGAAAAACTGGCGAGCCTGCTCTGGAGCCAGTGAGTCTGACCAGGGGGCCTATCCAGGCCCCAGTGAAAGGGGGTGCTCCTCCCTCAGGTCCTGGGGGCACCACCAGGGGCTGCAGAAAGTGTAAGGCAATGCGCGTGGCGGCCGGACCGGGTTGTCGTGTGTGTGTGTGTGTGTGTGTGTGTGTGTGTGTGAGAGAGAGAGAGAGAGAAGCAGCGTGGGAGGACCGTCGCTCCCACCTTGCACTTCTCTCCTTTGCCAGACCCTGAGCTTCCTCGGGGTGAAGGACCCACAGTGAGCTTCCGTGAGGGTGCAGTTCAGCAGCACGCGGGCGTTCAGAAGAGAGTCGGTCACTCCCGATGGCCCACTGTTGATGCTAATCGTCCACCGAGGCCTGGCCGTTGTGGGGCGCATACTGTAGAGCAGCGGGCGCTGAGTCAGGCGCTGGCCTAGTGGCTGTCCCTGTCAGCAGTTCCCCGGGCGATGCTGGCGCTGCGGGTCTGGAGACTACACGGGGACAATCGCCAATGCAGGGGACCCCGGCCTTGCTGGGAAGGGGGTGGACTACAGGCTGATCAGCCCAGCCACTGCCAGTCTTAAGGAAAAACACGTCGCACTATTTCTCAACCCGGAGGTTCATTTAATTTTTTGTTGAAAGACACTTAACTATTTAAGCAGCCGAGAGGGTTGAGAAATGTCAGGGAAACTTAGAGCCTAACTGCGGGGACGTGTCGGGGACAAGTAGAAGAGGACCGTCGAGGGAGGCGGAGACCCAGAGACCTCACAGGAAGGGAGCGCTCGAGAAGCGTGACCGGGAGTGCCACGAGCCATGGGGAGCCTTACACACGTTCACACGCTGCTCAGCATTGAGCAGCGGCAGTGGTCTGGAAAGGCGGTGCACAGGGCCCTGGTTAAAGCAGAGACAGGGCGGCCAGGAGCTGACCGTGAGCCAGACACTGAAACTGATGGGCTGTGGAAGGGACCGGTGTGGGTCACGCTCCCTCCAGGCACAGGGCAACCAGGAGCCCGGGCTGCAGGCTGGCAGGCGGTGCAGCCGCCCGTGGAGTGCAGGTCCCCCCAGCTTACGGCACAGTCAAGGCGCAGACTCCCCAGTTTCCATGGCTCCCTGCTCCCCGGCGTGAGAGCAGCTGTTTCGTAAACCTATACCTTTATTAGGTTCCCCCCAAACGCCCCCCTTACTGTGCACGGAAATGACAGTCGTCTTTGGCCACTGATCTCCACGTGCTTCATTCAGTCAGGGAACAGCGATAACTTGGCTCGGACTCTCGGTGTGTTTTCACGTCAGCTGGTGGGAACGCAGGCGTGCGGGTCCCTCCCAGAGAGCGCCCGCCTGCCTGAATCCTTGCGTGTGCACCGCGGCGTCGACTGTCCTGCCACCCAGAGAGAGCGGAGGCGCACAGCGATTTCAGTGAGGCGATTAAGGGGGGGTGGGGCCGTTAAATGGGAGTGTGGTCGCGTAAGACTGTGCCTACAGTATGTTAAGTGAAAAAAAAAAACCCCTAGTACTATGCCATATGAATCATCTTATTTTTCTGAAAAATATACAAATGAATATAAATCAAGGTATTAATATTGATGCTTATTTATGTTTTTAGCTACTTTCTGAAAATTTTCCAGTTCATTTAATGATTGGGAAAAAGAACAAGGCTCTCTCCGCTTTTGAACATTTAAGCTGCAGCGAACTCAGACGGATGAGTGGCTCACTATCTAAATCGTGCCTGCGGAACATAACCCTGTGTCGCAGTAACTGTGAGCTGTACTCTGTCAGCTCGGCAGTGCGAACGTTGTAGAAACAGGATTTCAAACCAAGAGCGTGGAGAGAATTGCAGTTTTCTTACAAATACCAGCCAGGCTGCAGAGCACGTGAGCACACAGCACACCGCTTCTCCGGACCAGGTTCTGGTCTGACGGAAGCCAAGCGGCGGGTCCTTGGGAAGGACAAAGGCCTCTCGAGGCCACTCCTTAAATCACGACACGCTCGCTGTGCTTAGGCTCAGGAATGCGCCCTGCCGAAGCAGGCGGTCAGGCCATGAGGGTGTTTCAACTATTTCCTGACACCTGTGAGGCTGTAAATATTTCCCGTATTTGTTGTGTCTAGAAAAAACAGGAATTAACAACTCGGAGGTCGTCACCGCACACACCGTGAGCGACCGCCACACGGGCCATTCCCAGTAGGAGATTCGTTTTCTTAAAACCTGTCGGAACACATTTCTCTCGAAGGAAGACTGGGATCATGAGAACAGTCTGACTGGATATAGCGGGGAGGCCTGGCACCTCTGTGGGTCTCCAAAGGGCGCCCTGCGTGGTCAGAATATTGGTATAAACCCCACTGTAATGTGTGTCTTCCAAGGCAAGCAAAACCGAGATAGTGAGCAGTAAACAGCTGATTGGCGGCTGACGACCCCTAGTTTGTCTGTTTGAAAAACAGGTTTGATTATCTTAAGTGCTATGCAAGGGCTGGAGTCAGAGGGTCCGGGAAGGACCCACTGCGGTGTCACTGGTTGGGGACTTCAGGTGCGTCACTCAACCACACTGCCCGGAGCGTCCTCTGGGCAAAGCAGAGCACGGGTGGTGGCCAGTGTGCAGAGTCGTGAGGACTTCTGCACGTGTTCTGTGTGCGACTTTTATTTCATCCCTGGGTCTGACATATTTACACATATATGTAAATGTTCACACCCACACACTAAGCTTTCCAATTGGTGGCTGATAGTTAAAGCCAATCTTATTCTTTTTGTATTTCAAGTGTCCTTTACTCGCAGCAAGACTGAAATATTTAACATATTTTACCTGTTATTTTAAAGACGAATAAATGAAGACATTGAACACATATAGATCAACTCAACAAACTGGAAGCTGTCCATAAAAGCTGAATAGCAATGAATGACATTCAGTTAACCATTATTTGAAATGCTCTCACAATTCTACAAAAGAAACAACTCTTTTTAAAGAACAAATAAGTGTTCTATTTAAATCTGCAAACAATAATTAGCATGCTCCTGAAAAAAAACAACAACTACCAGCCCAAGGGAGCCCTGCAGACGGCACGCTTCCCCGGGGCCTATTTTTGGCTGCCTATTCCTGCCTTTTATTTTGGGACTCAGCCCGCTTCCTTTGTAGCTTCCCCTTGTTCATACCTTTCTTTCTTATATAATGCATTTTAAGCTGCCTTTTTTTTTCACCTTCAAAGGAAACCCAAGGAATGCTGGCCAGTTCAGGAACTCCTGCTAGTCTTGGCACCGGCGGAGTTCTTGGTTTGAAAACAACATAAAAAAATCCAGGGTCATGGCTGGCTTTCTAGTTATTTAATGAATGGGAGCCCCGGGGGGATGCGAGACCAGAGATTGGTAGGCGTT